CCAGACTTTTTCCTATTTCCGAAAATTTGCTTTAAAAAGAAATAAATTTGATGATATTCCTAATATCAAACGAAACGTGACGAGACTTTCGAACTTCATCCCAAAAGAAGACCTCTTGCAAAGTTATCAGGACATGTATAGTAGTTCTCAGGGGTGCATAGTTATAGGAGCTGACTATTTTGAAGGACAGTAAGTTAACTTTCGTTAATATTTCATCTACGTTAATGTTACATGACTATTCACCGAACTTTATAGTTAGAGGTTGTACTTGTCCTAACTGTTCTGACATTCAATCTTCTAATCCTAATTTTAAGTATCCACCCATTTTGGCTAAACTCCACAACATAGAACTAAGCTCCACGGACCATCAACTGCTTTATTCGCCAAAGGTCGTTGACATAGCAAGGGTCGTATTGTACGCCTTCGGCGCCATTTGATTTCACAGCATAGACAAGACAACAATATTTATAATTCTTCATTTTGAAATCTGTGTAAAATAATCTACATATTTTCAGTGCAGTCTTATCTTTTACTTGTTTATCCTCATTCCAAGTTGAGAATAAGTGTATAAATTTTGATCTGTGTGTTTATTCTTTATTAGTTCATTCTCTCCCTATATATCTTATTCAGATTTTCAATCGTTGATAAGTGATCGCTTAGAAAAAGTATTTACAATACATACATTGAATTAAAATTCAAAACGGATTCTAAATTGCAAGTTATTAAAGTAAAATTAATTTGGTTAAATTTTACTCCTTTCTTTTGTTCTTAAAGCAGGGATATATTTTCCTTACATTTTATTTTTGATTCAATTTCTACTATTAATTGACTCTTTTCCTATATATATATATATATCTTGTTCAAATTTTCAATCGTTAATAAAATACTTTCTATTCATCCATTCAAGTTCAAATGCATTTTTTTAAAACTTGTAGTGGGTGACACTTGATATTAATAAAGCTTTTTCAAGTATTAATTCATCAAAAAATGAAATTTAAATTAAAAAATGAATAAATAGTAACAAAAAAAAATTAATAGTCCAACACCCTATATAAAAAGGAAAATCACTCGTTTTGTCCATGTAGCGCAATGGATAGCGTGTTGGATTCCTAATCCAAAGGTCGAGTATTCGAATCCCTCCTGGGATGACCTGATTTCTGAGAATGTGGTTTCTTTTTACTGTACTATTTTATTGGAATAATTAAATTTAATTCATGAATAAATAGTAACAAACAAAAAAAAATTCCAACATCCTATATAGAAAGGAAAATGGAAAATTGCTTTCTATTTCGCCACTTACTTGTGTGATTCTGTCATTTGTATATACATATTTATATTAATTGTAATTAGTTAATAAAAAGTAACTATATAAAATAAAATTTTTCATTCTTGACCTAAGTAGAAATTGACTTAATTTTTTTTTATATTACTTGTTATATAAATTAAATCTCACGTTACTTTCTTTTTCTTTAATCCACTATTAGATCTTCGTCCTTAATTAAACCTGTCCTTTCTACTTTTCTAAAGTATTGCGTTGTGACACCCCGTGTTTGAATAAATGTGAACAAAAATTACATTGCAACATTTTTGTTACAGTCTACAAAGAATTTTTGTGAGTAGTTACAGAGCCTCAGACCTAGACAATGTAATAATTTGATTTTTACAAAATGTATTTTAACAGTAATGAAAGATAAAAGGTCCCTATATTTGTTCAAATTCAGGTCTCTATTTACTTGTTTGCCCCTCTCGTGCACTACTGATTTAAAATTAATGAGTGTGATGATCTTTTGAAATATTTTTCAATAAAATTTTTTAAATTATTCGCTCTTAAAATCTCCTCTCCCCCCTCCAACAAAACGAGTCAGTAATCACGTTTTGAAAATTAATTCGAATTACTGAACCTTAACGTAAAATCTTTTCATAATTGGAATTAATTCGAGCAAAATATTTGTTTACTTTTTAGGGACATCATTTTTTAAAAAAAACAAACATATTTCATTCGAATTTAGTTGTGAATAATAATTACACGTTCTTCTTCTTGATTAAAACAGTTTAGAATTCGAGATTTTATCATTATGCGTTATTTTTGAGTTCAATATCATAAATTAATTAAACTCATTTTTAAAATTAAATAGTTATCTAAATTATTGACTTTAAAACGATGGTCTTTCAGAGTTGATTTTAAAAGGAAGACTTTTGTATGCTTTTCTTTTTATGTGATTAAAAATTAAAGGAAAAAGGGGGCAGTGGGGAAGACTATTGAAGTGAGGCTTCAGATTTTAATTTTTTTTTTTTTTTTTTTGATTTAACCCTTGTCATGCTCATTTAAGAACATTTTTCACGGCTATTGTGTGTTAATGTGTTTTTTACGTTTAAGACATCTGAACACATTGAAATGACCAATTTCAATCGAAACACATTTTCGGTTTTTTTTATTTTATTGAATAGAATATTCTTTTGGTTTCACAAAAACATATTTCATTTTGTTTCTATGTAACCCAGAGGTCGAGTTTTAATAAACGATATAAAATTCGAAAATTGGAAATAGGTCTTTAATATACCAAAAATGAGTATTTTAAATAGTTCAAAATTTACTATGGTGTATCTGATAAATCAAAAAATTATAAATGTATTTCTATGAAACTTTGAACATGATATTTATAATATTTTCTAGAGAATGTACTAAAATAATACTTACTGTAGGAATATTTTTTTTATTTATGGTATTGTTATTTAAATAATAGCCTTCTAAACCTGTCGCATTTCTTGTAATATTTGTTCTGCCTCAGCTCCAAAATTTTCATACTTTAATAAAACATTAAAATTTTAGTACGTTTACTAGATAAACACATTAGTTTATTTTAGTGATACATTTATAGATATAAGTCTATTAATCTTTTTTCTCCTACTACCTTAAAGAATATTTAAAAAGTTGCTAAAATTTCCCTTATAATTATGATTTTTGTAAAATTTTGGTAAAACTTTTTAAAATATTGCTGGTTAAGTATTTATATGCAGTGGTATTGATCCCTAAAAATATCACGTTTGATGTTTTAGTGTGTGCTCTACTTAAAAAAAAATATTTCAAACATGTTAGGATACACCTTATTTTGTAAAGTTATCAAATTGTTTCTAATTATTTAAATTATTTCTAATTTTAAATAATTATTAATATATATCTTTCGGGGGGATGATAAATCGAAAGTAATGAAGGCATTCTTTTTATTTTCACAAATGAACAGATTTTATCAAACCTTTTGTTATAATAACTAAAAGTAGATTTATTAGTAAACTAAATTCTAATTTTATTTTTTTCAAGCATGATCCTCTTTTCAAAATATTTATTTTTCTTTCACGAGTACCTAAAAAAAAACTTTCTTTCGAACGAATGAACAATTATAAACTTCTCAGCCAGATTTTAATCACTAAAACACGAACAAAAATTTAATTTTTCAACACATACAAATCCAACCTTAACACGAGTGGAAAATATCAAAAAAAATCATTCGACAGAACACGAAAACACGAATATTTTCTGAAAATCCCTACTTATAAGACTATCAAATCAACTTAAATCATATTTTTGAGATCTTCCCCAAACCACTGGTCAAAATCACCCATTACGAAGATTAGCTATGCCCTTGAAACGGAGTAACTATTTCAATCCATTGATGAATCTGCAATTGCCCCCATAAATTCAGCCGGGAGGGTTGTGGGGAAGAGATAAAAAAGCACAACACACACACTGAGTCTCATTCTGAGAAGCCACTGCGCAAGGCCACGGCGCATCTTAGGGTTGTTCTTCACCTCAGCTCACATTGATCCGAAAAAGAAGGCCACTCGGTCGATTTTTACCAGGTTCCACCGTCCTTTCGCCCCCCCCCCCCCTTCCTTCTTCCTTGCCTCGACGTGCTATATTTTCCCTTCCTTTAAATTACTAGTACGAGGCTTTCTATCCAGGGTTTTACGTCTACTTTTATTTCCAGGCTCCTGCGACGCAATCAATTCACGAATTACAAATTACAGGGTGGCATCGGATTGATGAAGAAGAAGGGGGTGGAATAGCAGGGGGAGGGAAGGGAAGTTAATGAATGGCCGCAAGGAGGAGACGTAGAAAATTTTTGGATACTCTGTGTAGATGTGTTCCGGATTTGCTGTGGGAGGGATGCTCTGGGAGATTTCTTAACGGGTCTCATTTCTCGATTTTAGTTTTAGAAATGTATGCGAGATCTAAGATTGTAATATGTGTGTATATTGTGATGAACTGTGGAAAATGATGCAGAAAAGTGGGAAACATCGCGAGTTCAATATATTAAAGTTACAAAAAACAAGTTAAATGAGTTTTGAAAATGTTACCAAATTAAAATTAAAATTAATACAATAAAACTTATACATGGGTAACTGGGAAATGGAAAATTTATATTTAAAATTAAGTCAAACGTGAAACTTTTATTTGTGATTAAAAAAAATACCTTTTTATTATTGATATACATCATTTTTATTTTTTAACTATTAGTATATATTTCATAGTATTTTAGTTATTAGAGTATATTAGTATCATTTATTATTATCATGATACAGTGATAAAAAATTATTGAAATATGAAATTATCTACAGATTTAGGATTTTTGAGGACACGTATAACCGTTTGAGAAGCAGAAAGTGTTCATAAATTTAGTGGTCATCTGCAACGATTCAAGGTCATTTTTTATTTATAACCATTTATCATCTTTAGGGAAATGAAAGGTATTTACAAAACAACGTCTGCAGAATATTTCTTTGTGGTTCGAGAGGCTAGACGTTTACTCAATAAATCGTATAGCCAGGAAGAAAAAAAAAACATTCAGTGCAATCGAATATTTTTAAATTTTAGGGGAAAAAAGTGAGATAGGTGTCCCTTTCCCAAGTTCTTTCTTTAGACTTTCCATGGATTTTTATACATTTTGATATAACATTACGGATAATACCGATTAAATAATTGAGATTTGATTTGAAAATTTTCAATTATTTTCGCACTTATAAGATATTGCAGGAAATTTGACAATATTATTTCTGTTTCAAAACGTTATAGGTAAAGAAATATGAAAACAAAAATTACATAGTACACACTGTAATTTGATGTTGTAGAGTTTTACATTTATGCCCACCTTTTTATTATTGACCATTTCCTCTATCCTATTTATGCACAATATATCCAATAAGCATCGTAATTTTTATTTATCCATGGATAGATGGTGACGCAACTTTTAAAATGTATACTATGCTTAATTGATGACTTAAAGGCTTTTATTTATTTGACATAAATCAGTTCCAGATGCAAGATTTTCTGTTATTTGAAACTGTGAGGTCCATTACATCTTTCGAGGCCATTTTACAAAATTACTCTAGATGACATTTATACCGTCCAGTTACATTATTTGACCACCACGTACTTTCGTCGTCAACGTTAAGTAACAAATCACAGAAGGCAGGTAGAACACAATGTAGATGAACGTGTATCCCTTTAAGACCCGACCCGAAAGATCGTGCGGGTTAGACATTCTTATACATTTTTGCTTCTGGAATAGTCGTATGTAAGAAAGATTGAGCGTGTTTGCAGAAAGTTTACAGTATGACTTTTTATGAACAGACGGTGATTGTAGTCCATGTTTTACTTTCAGCTGACAAATCTAGCTTTGTTTTCAAAAACAACTAAAACACATCTTCTTTTTATCTGTCGTAAAAAGATAATTATCACTATATTTCTAATTACTTAGATACAAATTTTAGTATTAATGCTTAAATATTTGTAAAATAGAAAAAAATATTAACTATACTGTATTGATGTTGCTTGTAGGACTCGGGATTTCGTTACCCACACGATCCTGCGGGTTGGGCGTTACTTGAGTCACGGCAGCTCTTAAGGTAAGTTCTTGCACATGTGAGTTTTCTTTTCTGTTTCAATAATATTGATAGAAGCGTAAATAAAAACGAAATGCATAGTTATATAATTAAAACAATATTTCCTTGAGGATGCCTTGGACGAGTCCCGTTTTTCATTCTTTGGTTCCTTTTTGCAATGAATTTTCTCTTTCACACATTTGATAAAGGTTATGGCACTTTCATCCTTTACACAGATATCTGCATCCATATCTCTTCCCCCACCCCT